TTGAGATGCCAGCAATTTATATGCGATTACAAGTGGTACTGATCTTCGTTTTCCTCCTTTCGGAACATTATATTCCAATANCCTAAAAGTTAAAAAATATTGTTTTGTTATTGAAATACAATGAATGTCGTTTATGAATTCGAGTTTGAGACAAGAGAATATAGTGACTAATGATTCATAATATAATAAAACATATATATTAGAAGACTAGAGAGAATTTTTTTTTTTTTTGAAAAAAAAATTATATAGAAAAAACTAAATAATATTTTAATGATCTTTTACATATTTACATTTAACATTCTAACAAACATAAACACATTTAAAACATTTTTTAAATCCAAAATGTATTTATAATTTATTTTTTTCGTCAATAATATAATGTCTCGAGCTTTCGCATCCAAGATAGAATTAATATATATATTATATATATATTAATATATATATTAATATATATATATAACTGGGAAAGCATGAGAGATAACAATAATTTATTTCGTACAAGTGTCAAATAAAACATTTTTATTCGATTCATTATACTAATAGATTGTATGTGACATCATTTGAAATATATTTAATATTGGATTCATTTAACTTCGAATATAAAAAATTAAAATAAATGCAAAATCTTTGTTTCCTAATTCTTAATTAATTTAATTCTTAATTAACATTCTTATTGATATTAACACACACACACACACACACACACACACACACACACACATATATTTAACAAAATAAATATTTTAATTAAAATTTACTGAAACTAATAAATATTCTATTAATAACTTTTTTTCTTCGTTTAAAAATATTTATCGGGTTATGAGATGTGGATAAAAAAATATATTTTTGTATTTTTATATTTAATTATAATTCTTCTTATAAATAATGTTATTTTATTGATTTTGTACTTTTTAGTCATTGCTCTTGGTTCATAAATTTGTAATTTTAATCTAATATGATTTAGATAAAGCAATTTATATTGAAGCGTATGCTTTTTTATTTTATTTTTCATGTAATAAATATAATAATGTATTAAACCTCCCTATATGTTAATACATTCCAATCTCTCCTATAATATAAAGACAATTATAAAGAAGAATAATTATTGATAAGTTTTATTAAAATAGAAATATTATTAAATATTTATAAATTTAACCAATAATTAAATTAAATTAATATTAATTAATTATTTTTATTCACATTCTACAATATAGTAGAAGAACATGAGACTGTACAATTGTTATTGTTTTTATATATTGTTTTTTTATATTATTATATATATTGTAAATTTTGAATGAGCTTAATAATTGAGTCTAATTGTACTGACTAATGATTGATTAATTTCGCGATTTCTAAATAATTTCTAACTGAATATAACTGAATATAATTTGAATTTTGCGGTAATTAATTGCAATCTAGCTGATTAGATGACTAAATGATATCTAAATAAATCTGATTTTTTGAAAAAATTGTCGCAAAAATTAATTCTCTCTCCAGTAATTATTATTCAATTAAGAGAGAATGAAAGAGAATTAATGGTCGCGTTGGAAAGCAAATCCAAGAGGATGGATTTTTTTTCTGGTGATCGATCGTATTTAGCTAATTTGATTCATTTAAACATTGCTATTGTATCTTAGTTTCTCGAATAATTAGAATAAGTCTGTTCTGATTTTTTTTTCTAACAATCGTGTTATGGATAAAGTTACATAAAAGATGAAAATATGAAATATTTATCATAATTAACACAAAATCCATAAATCGATTATCAACATCGATTAGAATAATATATATGGATTAATATATTGGTATCTTCATATTAGCATTCATTAACATTTATTTTAGAAATATAAAATTCCTTTCTGAATCTTCCATTATGCATATTATACAATACTATATGCATACTATACAAATCGATTTTAGTTTATTTAAAATCTATCGGTAATTGATAAGTTTCCTAATTTTTTTATCAATAAGAAATGAGTTTTTTTTAATGTTCTATAATGTTAAATAATGCGATTTTTTTTATCTATTTATATTTATATATTGATTATTTTTGATGCGTCAAGATGTAATATAAAAAAATTAAATTAGAAGATTAAATACAGGAAACGTTGTAAAAAAAAAAATTACAAGTCATTACAAGTTAATGAAATACCATTAAATTAACATAATTTATTAACGCAAATGTAAATACTAATTCTATAACATATCATTTTTTATTTGTTAATATTTAAAGAAGTAATAATCTAATCTAATAATAAATTATGTAAAAAGAAAGTGCTTATATTCAATAAGATTTAAATTTTCAATAAAATTTGATTCTTATACTAATATATTTTATACATGATTCGAAATTGTATTATTTAATGATATATAAATTTTGAAAGAAATAGATACCTCTGTTATCCACTTGTTAACATCTGGTAATTCTTTATTATCTTCTTCTGTCAATTCACGAACAATATCAGGCCATATGGCCATTAATTCGTTTCTTTCATCTTTGAATGAATTGACAAATTGTCGTATATTGTTTGATCTAAAATAAAAGAATTTTAATAACTTGTTTATTATTTGATCATTTTTTTAGTTACTGGTTAATTGTTTAACTGTTGAAATAGCCTTGTCAAATAAAAATTTATTTATTTATTACTACGAATAATAAAATAATAAAATAATAATTAATTTATAATACGATGGATTAAAAATCTGGTTTTTAAAAGAACATCACTTATTCCAATGAATTTTAAATATATTGTTTTGATTTTTATTTCGAATGGAAAATTATTAAAATATTTCATGTAATTTTATTTATTTTAATAATGATTTCGATTTGATATCTTATTATGCATTGTGTTTAATGTTGCTATTTAATGTTGCTATTTTTCTTGTATATTTTTTATCTTCTAAATAATCTAATTATAGAAAAAAAATTGATAACTGTCATATGTCGAAATCATTATAATATGATTTTTAAACGATTTATATCGTACAATAAATTACAAGCAAATTTCATATAAAAATTCTATATAAAACTATTTTTTTAATAGACTGTTAATATACTTTCATAAAATTTCATTAGAATAAAATTTGGGTCTATCATGGAATGTGTAGTATAATTGATTGTGGCATTCAGTGTATAAACTATAAATTAAATATTATTCATATAAGTTAAAGAAATCGAATTTATACTATAATTCAAAAAGCTAAATCTAAATTCATGGAAAATTCCTTCATGAATTTAGAAAGTCCATGAATATCATAGTCAATGACATTAAAGATATCACTGCGTCTTCTAAATAACGACAATCCCAAACTTAAATAAAATTATGCGAAATAAACTTGAGACGATTGTTGCTCAAAAATAGTAAATAATACAGAAGGACTGATTCGTAGGTGTTCATTATAAGTTTCGTTAAACGTAAGATTATGTTGATTATAAAATTAAATTGATTTAATTTTTAATAAAATAAAAAATTAAGATTATTTTAATCAAACTTTTTCAAACAAAGTTAAAATTCAAAGTGTTCGCGAATAATAAGTGTTCGTAAAATTTAATAATNCCTTTCAAAAAAAATTCCTTGCAAATCCTTTTCCGTTATTGTTCAGCACTTATTATGAAGTTATATAATCATACAATTATTGTGAGAAGTATAATTATATATATTTCTATATATAAATAATATAAATATTTCTATATTATAATTAATTAATTATTAGGTGTATCACACCTAATAATGTAGTTCATTTAGTCATCATTTATTCATCATTCATTCGTTAAAAAAATTTTATATATTTTTTTTTTATACTGGAATTTTGAATGATGAATAAATCTTATACAAAGTGTAATGAGTTTATTTATTGCTATTCAATTTGATATATATTTTTGATTCGATATATATCATATATTCAATAATTATAATCAATACTTTGTTTGACACATATTTATTTGGGCTTATTCATTTGCAAAAAAAAAAAAAAGAATGTGAAAAATTACTTACAGATTTTTACAGTAAAGAATTCATGTTCTTATCATTTTTTAAACAATTCTTTATATTCAATTATATAAATAACACAATACAAATACAATAATAAATATAATACGATATAATTATGATAAAATAAATATGGTATTTTACATTATAGCATTGAATTAATTATGAATTTATATAATATTTAATATATTGACTTTATAATTAAATAGAATCAATAACATAACATATTGCTATATATATATTAATCATATTTTTTTGAGAGATAAAATTAAACATTTCTTTTCGATTTACATATGTAATAAAAAAAATTATAATAAAAATATTTTTACTTACGTATGATATTTTAAAGGCGTATTTATTTTATAATAAGAGTATCCTATCCTTGATTTTTGGCATTTCCACCATAATGAATTTTTTCTAATATTTATAAAATTAAAGATTTTTTGTGTATTTCGTTCACACAACAGTAAATTCATACACTTTAGTAAAATATGAAACATTTTTACCAAATATATATATATATATAAATATTAAGTAAAAATATATATATAAGTATTAAGTATATATTATATATATTAAGTATTATTATATTATATTAAATATAATAAATATTTTTTTATCTATAAAATAAATTATATCAAATTATATCAATGAATAATAATAATATTTAACACATTTTCTTTGATATTTCAATTTCTTTGTGCTCAATCATATGTGCTACATGACTAACACTGTTGGACTGAGTGTATGTGCTAAGTAGAGATGTCAAGTAATGGAACAATAATACTTATGTTAATTTTTTCTTATTTGTTATATTGTTATGATCAATGAATATATAATGTATATGTATAATTCTAATTTTTTCTTGCTAGTTGCTAGTAGCTAAATGCTATAGATGTTGTTGCATATACAGTTAACAATTTCATAATTATTAGTTTTAAAAATTTATTATTATTAACAATTTCATAATTATTAGTTTTAAAAATTTATTATGAAACTATTAAACTATTATGAGACTAGTATGTATAATCTATCATTATTATATCTAATATAAATGTATTCACATCAATTTATAAACGATTAACATTATATATCGATATGAACATATTTATCAGAATAAATAATTATTTTTTAATGTAAAAAGTTACTTTCATAATTTAAAAATTACAAAGAAAATATTGTATAGCAATTCTTAAATAAAGTATTATTAAAAATTTGGAAAAATGTTATTATATGTAATTCGAAATTAGGATAAATTAGGATGTTATTCAGATTTTTTTTTATTTTTTGTTATATTTAATATAATAATTAAGTGAAAGAAAATAGTGGTATTAATATGATATGATTAAAATATAGATATTGAATTTCGAGTATTATTTATTTTTTTCAATTTAATAATCTCAAATTAGAATAAAAAACATTGAATTCAAACCAGATAAAAAGAAAAATTTTTTAATTGATACATTAATTTGTAAAATTCAAATTGATTCGAATTTCATTAAATGACTTTCTTCTATAAGTGAAGATAAACAAGTTTGTGCATAGAAAAATACATTTAACATTTTTAATCTGGAATCTTATTAATGTTTTAATTCGTTTCTATAGATTTCAATAAATAGAACGTTTCAGCTATGAATTTAAATTAAATGTTTGTACAATGATTTATCTATGTATTTCAATAAAATGGTATATAATGTCAATATTTCAGAATTTACTAAAATTTATTTATTAAAATAAGTTTTTTTACATAAACAAAAAAATTATATACGTATAATATATATTACATTATAGAGAAAATCAAAAATAATCCTTTGTGTACAAAAAAATATCAATGTTTTTATTTTTATTGAAAAATTCCATTATACAAGTGATATCGTATAATGATATCATATATAATTGTAAAGTTAACATTATTATTTTATTATTATTTTCATGCATTTCTATTTTTTACAAAAATAATTATAATATTTAAAAACTCTAAATACAAAACTCTAAATTTTTAATATATGATATCACATTTTCATTTGAATAATAGATTCATTTCTCGTGTTTTAAAAAATTATTAAATGAAGAGAATTTTTATTTATTTATAAATTTACTTATTTATTTATAAATAAAATTGCTATGAATAGATTTTCAGAACTAAAATTACTGTTGTTACAGCATTTTTCAATTAACTATGAATCACTATGAAAAAAATTTGTATATTATAAAATATTATAATTGTATATTATAAAATTTATTTAATTGTACAATTGAAAAAGTTTCACTTAATTGTAACTTCTTCCGAATTCAAACACAACGTAAATCGAACTAGTTTTAATAACCAACTAATTATTAATAGTTATTGATAATTTTGAGTTACTAATTCATTACTAATTCGTATTTTGTGCGAAATATATCAAATGTTACTTACAAGAAAACTAGAAAAAAAAAAAAACAAAAAGAATTTGATAATATAATGACAATACTTTCAAGGATTATATATTACTGTTCATATTATTCACTAATGATTAGGATCAATTTTAAGTGTTATTATTTTATTTTTTCAATTTTAGTATTAATAAATAAATAAATAAAAATATCATATAATATATTTTCGTCCTAATTTTCTCTAAATATAGTGAAGAAAAATTATATTTTAAAAAATAAAGTAATTATTGTATCTCTTTGAAAATAGATTTTCAAAGATTTTATAAATTTTTATTAGTTTTTTCATTCATTTTACATTTGATAAATTTTTAGTAATTTATTAAATTTAGTAGTAATTTTTGTTTTTTATTACAAAAATTTTTAATAGAAAAATATTATTTGAAATTATTTTAGAAATTTCTAGCGCAAAATATTGCTCTTTAAAATGCATTTTTATTCGGCACAATCCATTTTTGAGTTTTGTCGTCATTCAAACGAAAGGACAATTTTTACCTTAAAAATTCAGACAACTTTGAATCACTATATCTTCCAAGTATATAGCAATATTTGTAATTTTTAGATGATCGTTGCAAGGAACAAAAAGAATTTGATAATGTAATGATAATACTTCAAGGAATGTGTTATTGTTTACATTGTTCATTAATAATCTGGATTAATTTTAAGTATAATTATTTCAATTTTCCAAATTTAATATTAATAAATAAAAATATGATTTAATATATTCTCGTTTTAATTTTCTTTACAATATAGTGAAGAAAAAATATATGATTTCGTTTTTTTAAAGAACAAAAAAATTTTTGTTCTAATGAATATAAAAAACTTGTTAAGTTTTTATATTAAAAATGTATATATCATATGTCATCGCAGATATCGAGGTAAACACCATGTAAAATATCTCATAATTTAAAATATTTTTAAACTTAAAATATTGTGTAAATTTTAACATTGAATTAATTTTCTATGAACATTATCCAAGATTATACTTAATACTTAATAATTATAACAAATTAATTAAATAAAATTATCATCTTTTTTTTTATTAAAATAAAAAAACTTATTATAATAATTTACTATTTTTAATTATTCAGAGTAAAAATAATTAAGAAGAATGTGAAAACAATAGTTAACATTAAATAACATAAAATAATATCGAACAATATTTTTTTTTAAAACTTTTATTACTAAACTTTTATTATACAAGTTTATATTAACAAAAAACATTGACTAATCACGTTATCAATGCGTAGGTTACTCGAAGCGGAGCGAGTGTTTATATGCTATTAGTGATTATAGTTAATCATTAACCATGTGTGAAATGAATGATAAATCATTCGATTGATCGGATGATACATTGCTTTCGTGTGTATTATTTTCTGATGATATTTTATCTATCAATTTAATCAATTTAATATTATGCAAATCTGTTAAGAATATCTTTAAAGATAAGGATATATACCAGAATACTATCAATATTAAAAAAAGATATCCAGGAGAAAAGATTTCAAGAATTTTCTTGAATGGTTAATTTTATCTATTTATTTAATTAATTTTTTTTTAATTTAATATAATTCATGTAATATAATTGTTTATTCAAAAAATATATTTTTTATAATAAAAAAAAATAATTGTATATAAGTTTCTTCAACATGTTACTTCACTTTATTTGTGTTCATAACACAAAGACAATATTTTTCGTTAATAATTTCTTAATAATATCAAAAATAATAAAGAAAATTTTTGCAAAGAAAAATATCACTTGATATTATCTTAAGAATTTCTGAATAATTGAATGTGTGATCCCATATTTTTGGAAAATTTTGTACAATCTTTTTGTCCTATTTTTCTACATGATGTAGCAAGTAAATATAAAAAGTATTCAGTCGGAAGTTTCGAAGATAATTGTTGTATATATGTATTCAATAAATTATGCGTTTCTTCTTCGTAGTCCAAATAGATATTTGATATACCTATCTCTTCATAAATTTCTTTCACACGTTTTACTTTTTCTTCATCAGTTCTTCCATAACATTCCTAGATTATATTAATATTATTAATATAATAACTTATTATATTAATAACTTATTTTATTTAAAAGAATAAATTTGAAATATTATTAATGATATATAAAAATGATATATAATAAGTTTACTTTTAAAATTTTCTTTTGGTCGGCTGTAGCTCGCTGCAATGCAACTACAATGGGCCATGTACATTTTCCTTCTTGTATGTCAGTTCCCCTTTTTTCTCCGATTTCTTCTTTACTGTAATAATCCAAAAAATCATTTTGTACTTGGAAAAGATGACTTATTTTTATCAGAATTTTTTCTGCTTCTCTATGCATTTCTGGATCGATTATGCCAGCCTATGAACAATATATAATTAAACTAAAATAAAAAGGAAAGGAAAAATTGATATTTTTTTAATATGAATATTACAATTATAAGAAATAATAAAATCAAAGTGCAATTAAATATACTTACGAAACGCATAG